GTCCTTTATTCTGAAAAACAGTGACTCATATTAGCACAGATAAAAGACACGTTGAATACAATGTCATACTTTTGGTTTCACAACTATTATTGTACTTTGATGACGTTACTTCATAGATATTTTAAAATCCAGATACAGAATGAAAGTGTCACATTTGAAAAGCCTTGCAGTTACTAGTTAGATGGATATACTTTACGTTATTAAGTTATTATAATTTTTTGCATTTAAATTTATTTATTTTTTATTCTGTTTTCAACTATATGTGAGGCAGAAAGACCCCGTCAAAGTGCGGGATAACTGTCCCCGGAACGAAGATTTCACACTCCTTGTTTCAGCCCTACAGATCAAGGAGACGCACTCGTGCCCGCCGTTACCTTGGTAACAACATTACGTGAAGTCCCGAGAGCGCTTCACTGATAACATGGACATCCAGGAAATAAGTAATGCTCTTCATTTTACCTCAATGACAATTTCGTAACATGTTTGAATCAATACAGCTATTTTGAAATCGTTGGAATTAAAACATAACCATCGTATTACCTTACGTTAGCGAACATTTACTTAGCCGCGATGCTAACTAGCGGTTTTTGTTTTGGTAGCTTTAGTTTCCGAGTCGTGGCGTTTTCTAATGACATGTGGAGCTCATTATACGCATTGTGTGTTTATTATTATTATTATTATTAATAATGTCATTTTTATTGTCCACATTTAGATGTTGCCTCCTGTCGTTCACGTGATGCTCACAGTTGTGTAGAGAACATCGTAGAAATGACGGATGCAGAGGAGGAAGTATTGGTTATTTCCAGGTGGGTATTTTGTTTTATTTTAATTTATTTTTAAGTCAAGTCAAAAGTGGTGGAAAATATGTGTATGATCATGTGCAGTTGGTGTAACTGATGGGTTCAGACGCTGTTTCTTATCAGGGATTAACTCTCAGCCCCATCTTGTTTGTCACGGCGATACAGATCTTCACAGATGGGGTTTTTTTTTTTTTTTGTAATCTGTTGGGAGATTAGATTAGAAGTGTTAGGTGGAGGAGAGGATGGAGAAAAGTTCGGTTTAGAACTGGTGAAAGAAAGGAGCACGTGGTATTAAATAACCTTCGGGTCCAGTGAGATTTATTTTAGAGCACGTTTAAGTGTTGCCCAGTGATAGTAACAGTCACAGACATACGATGTAAAGAAAACAAAGGCATTTGATTATAGGATTGACTTTTAAATGAGATTATATGCAGTTTTCATTCAACCACCTGTGGCTTCGGTCTTGTTTGTAAATAATTTCTTAGTCCTGTTGTTAATCCAATTAACTCATTTACTCTTTTTATTTTTAAATTTCCTCTTTCCAGTTCCACGGATGCTGCATTTGATTCAGTTATTGGCTGCATAGAGGACATCATCATGGGTAAGACACACCTGACATTAACTTTAAATATAATCACAATTTGACCAATCACAGTTCAGTGTCCTATTCCACTTGAAAATACTGAGTTTCTTTATTTTTTATTTTTTCAGAGGAGGAGTTTCAGCAGCTTCAGCAAACCTTCATGGAGAAATATTACCAGGAGTTTGACGACTCCGATGAGAACAAACTCAGCTACACACCCATCTTTAAAGAATATGTGAGTTTTGATCGCCTGATGTCTTGTAAACGTGACAGGTCAATTGGATATTTTATATGTAATTTATACAGTACGTCTGAAACCTCCGCCACAAGCGTGGTTTAAGATGATTGAATTAAACTAAATGAATTGTTAAACTCCTGCGTGTTGTGTAGGTGGACCTGCTGGAGAAACATCTGGAGCGCCAGCTAGTGGAGAGGATTCCTGGTTTCCATATGAACACCTTCATCGAGTTGCTCATGTAAGATGTGACAGATGAGTCTTTTCTGAACAACCTCCTCTAAAAACAAAAAAAAACACCTGCAAAACATTTTCAGTCGTACTGGGTTCCTCTTACGGGCCACTAGAGGGCACTGAAGTACACTCAAATTGCTTTGTTGGCATTTGCAGGCGGCACAAAGAGGAGACTGACGGCGACATCTTCGACATGTTGCTGACGTTCACAGACTTCATGGCCTTCAAGGAGATGTTTCTGGAATACAGAGCAGTGAGTATTCTCTGGAATATCTGTTTACACCAAGAAACGTGTTTGAAAATGAACCCAAATCTCGCTACTTTTTAATTTTATGTTAAATATTTACATTTTGTATCTAAATTCTGAAGTTTTATGTGAATTAAACTTCATGCATTTAATAGACACTACAGGCCGGAAGTGCTGAAAAAGAGCACACGTTGCAACAAAATAAACATACTAATTCAATAAAGAGTTCGTCAACATAATAGCGTTCACTTTAGCCCAGACTTGACCCACGGATCATCGTCTGTTTAGCCTTAAATTACATTGTTAATAGGGCGGTTTTTTTATGATTATTACAAATAATTTCCAAATATAAACAACATTGTTGGGTTGTATTGAACGTTTTGTTGTCGTAAGAAAAAAAGCTCTATTGTATGTTTTAAATATATCTTGGTAGCGAAAAAAAAAAAAAAAAGTTTTTCTCCCCGTCGGGGAATTGAACCCCGGTCTCCCGCGTGACAGGCGGGGGTACTCACCACTATACTAACGAGGAGATACAAAGCAATGTGGTTAGCATTATTATATACGTGATGACTCACTATGCTGCGTGACGTGAACTATGACGACGAATTCGTCATCAGCCACGTTGTCGGCGGTTTCTATTCTATTGCGTTCATGAAAATGTAAACGTGTTTTAAGTATTACATTATATACTGTTTTCTGTTTGATCTCCTTCATCAGATTCTAACAGACTGTTTTAGGAATAGTGCTTAAGCTACGCTAAAACGTATTTCTGTGCAGTGCCATGATTGGCCAGAGGGGGCTATATTTAAAAAAAAAAATCGTTCATGAAAAAAGACCAATTCTACAGACACTACATATTTATGGAAGATGTATTGGATGTTTTGACACGTGCTCCTTGTTATACAAATAATTTAACATAAAGTAATATATAGTTTTTAAAAATGTAGCCCACAGGCTAATTTATCTGTGTGTGTGTGTGTGTGTTTGTTTGAAATACTCATCCCGACTCCTGTGTGTAAATCTGTGTGATTTTAGGAAAAAGAAGGTCGAGGTCTGGACGATAACGGGCTACTGGTCACACCCCTGAATTCCGCAGACTTTAAACACAATAAACCCCAGTGACGTTTTCAAAATCAAAAAGTCGAAACACGTGACTTGCCTCCTTCCACCTGGTGTAAGAATGTACCCATCTTCAAACGTCATAAAGGTGTTAGCTTGTGGTGAGTGTCTTTTGTCATTTTTATCTCTGGCAGACAGCGAGACCTCAGGAAGGTTTTTCTCTTTTGCCTTTTTCTTGTTTATTTTTTTTTCTTTTCCAAACCACTGCACTGGACGAACATTTAATAAATATGCACCTTTTTAAAAAGTGAGCTATGGTTTGCAGTTTGAAGTCTTAACTTTACAGTTACTCATTAAAGACAATTTAATTTTTTTTAAATATACTATAAATTTATCTAGATAGTCTTAGACCAAATGTAATTTTCATCAGTACTATTTTTTAAAAAAACTATGAAAAATCTTTTTGCTCTGGTCCACATATATCAACATCACCAGTCTCTCAGTTCTCATTCCACTGCCTGCTCTGTGCTCTATTGTCTGTTTTGCTCTAAATAGGATCTTAAGTTTCAAATCACATTTCCTGTTCTGTATTAAAAAATACCTGGAACTTCTGATGGAGTCAGTAAACATTTTATACATAGTTACATTCACTTTTTATATTCAGTTTTATTGTAACTTTTATTTAAAGTTTTTCATCTTTTGGTTTAGATTTGTTCAAAGAAAGATAGAAATCTGTTGAATGACAATTTGATTAATTTAGTGATTTTTAAAAGTAATTGAAGTGTGTTTTGTGCCTGTGAAATTGATAATGAGCGTTTATATAAGTGTGTGTGTGTGTGTGTGTGTGTGTGTGTATGTTTGCCTGTGGTGAACCAGAAGTAACACAGTGTGTTTGCCTGTGTTGAACCAGAAGTAACACGAGTGTAATCTCAATGTGAACGTGCTTTTGAAGTAGTTGAGAGTATATTTATGACACTGCTGAAGTACTGTGAATTTCATGTTCTATTTTTAGTAAAACTATGTTTCCAAATAAACTGGTCGAAAATCTCAAAGTGCTTTATTTGAAAAAGTCCAATGTTGAGTTTCACCAGCAAAAAAAACAACATCAAATCTCATGGACAGTGAGTGCATCCTGAAGAGAAAAAAAAAAGTTTAATCTTGGCAAAAAAAACAACATCAAATCTCAAGGACAGTGAGTGCATTTTGGATAAGTTTAATCTTGATATTATCATTTTCATTTGGCTTTTACTGTGGACTTCAAACTCTACCAAAGCATTTCTTGAATTTTTGATGCAAAGATTCTCTTCCCATCACCATAGAGACGACCAAACACATGCAGTCCACCGAACACTGTCGGTCGAAATGGTACAATCAACTCATAGACAATCAACAGGGCGATGACACATTAAAAATATATAAAAAATCAGTTAAAATGAACATTAGATGATTAACATGTACATTCTTATAATTTTCCTTCGCTGTCATGATGAAAAAAACAATTGATCAAAAACTTTTTTACAGAACAAAAAAAGCTGCTTTTCTTTGTGTCTTTCGGAGTGTCCGCATGCCGTAAGAGGTGCGTTAGCTCGATCAGTTTATGTTAGCGATATATCAGTGAACTCCCAATCACAAGCTAGTATGTACGTGGTTAGCTTTTAGCGCTAACGCTAGAGGCTCTAGGCTTTTTTAACATTTTGTGTAAGTGATTTCACGGGTGTTTGTTTTGTAAAAAAAAAACGTTTGGTCAAACGTAATTTTTTACTTTTTTTTCACATTTAATTGTTTTAATTTTTAGTACACAATGTTTATGAGATAGTAAATACAGTAGAACAGTCTGGCCAACTGAAAACTATAAAGACTATCAATGTATGATTTTTTTGTTGTTGTTATCTGCTCCAAAGTGAGGTTATTTGTTATATTTATTTTTCCATGTTTGAACAACGTTGCTGAAAAATGGACTCTACCTGAAACTGTTTATGGACATTTATATAAATAATCCGACGTTGCACTCACATGTGACTGACTGTAAACTAGGTTATGAGTTCCTTATGCCTGGATCGGGATTCATCTCCGTGATAATAACAGCGTTAGCCTGGGTTCAGGGTTCGGGTTACCAGTGACAGTCACTCGATAGTGACTCGGAGTGCTTTGTTTATCGACATCAAGTAATCCACATAAATAGAGTATCGTTGGGGGAAAGGAGAGACGTGGGAGCAGTCCTTTTTATCGCAGGTGAAGCACCGCAGGTTCGAGTCCTAGGTCGGTACGGTGTTTGTGGCAGCGTTTCCTCCGTCATCTTTCCAGTCCACGTAGGAGAAGAAAGCACTGGCGCCGTACGCCACCGTCACCACAGCTCCGAAGAACTGTACAGAGGGGGGAAAAAGTAATGACAAATCTGAAATATTGTTGCACCGAACAGCTGACAGGAGCTAAAAAGACATTTACTACATGTTTAATTGACCCTGTAAAGATCGCAGGGATTCATTAACCACTTTGACCACATGCTAATGTGCTCCTGTGAGTGCACCTGCACTGACCCACATACCTGAGGTACAATAAACCAGCTGATAAGACTGTGTCCCAGGTGGACTTTGACCTGTGGAAGAGTCTGTGAATGTGTTTTTAGCCTTTATCACACCTTTTCTAAGTGTTTATTTCCATTCAGTTGTAACGATGACTGTACGAGATGTTAATGTGAAGTCCAACCTAACGCTTTTCTCAGGAAAAGGAATCCCACCCACAGTTACCAGTTTTCAGATACCTGTGGGTAAATACAGTGTGTCATGTCTTTGTAGATCAGTGATTCTCAACATTTTTATATTAGCAGGAAACACCGCACGGCACACCACCAAACAAAAATCTCACAAAAAGAATATGTAATGAACTAATCTGCTAATAAAAACTGGCAGGAATTGAAGAAAGACGCTCACAAAGATCTTCTATGAGTGGTTTAAACTAGTATTTACTCTTGGATCAAACACTAATGTTCACTGTTTGTTGTTTGCAGTGACTATGGCTTCTTTTTCTCAGGATTGTGAAGGGCTGGAGCCAGTGTCGACAGACGGGGTTCACGGCCCGGTCAGTCCAAATTGGGGTCACAGGGTCAGGTACAGAGACAGACAACCATTAACGCTCACATTTATTCCTGTGGCAGATTAACCGTTATTAACAGTTATTGACAGTTATTAACCGTTAGCCTAATCCTGGATGATCGTAAACTTTGAGAGGGAGAATTCAGCTGACAGTTGAACCGACCACACTGTTTTTTGGTTTTCAATATTTTTTAAATTCAGATTTTTCTGTTTGAAAGTGAAAGTGCGAGGTGTTTGTTTGCATCATACCGCGGCAGCTGCGAGATGATCGTAGATCCCGGGCAACCACCAGAATTGGTGAACGTAGGCTGCATTGGTGGCGAAGGCGGTCAAATAGAGGATTGCCGCTGTGGCGTTATACACCATCACCTGGTGGAGCACAGAGGGAGAAATGTCAGCCATTGGTCAGCTTTTCAAAACCTTAGCCAAAGCCAATCCCAGTCCTCAACAGGTGAGGGCGCAGTAGGCCGTGGACTGTCGTTAGTAAAATTGGAAAATAAAGATGATCTTTCATTGTCCTCTTTTCCTCTAAATACGATCACAATCACAAGAGAAAAAAACAATTAAAATACAGATTTTAATACAGAAGTTATCCTGACTGGAAGCAGTTACAAACTGACTCAACACCTAACATGTGCTCCACACTGCCCCCTCTGGGCAACGACCATGTCATCATAGTGATGCTGTGAGAAAATGTCTGTCCAAATTATTTACAGCTGTGTAGCCCTGATGTGACTCGGACAACCGTCCTCTCTCAAACCCCACGCCCCCTATATTTGTTTCCTACCGTCAGGGGCCAGGGGACCATGGAGAGATTTCGCTGTAGGCCAAACAGGATCATGAAGAAGAGGACGGTGGTGAGGATCCACAGAGTGATGGCCACGAACAACACCCAACCGTAAGGTCCACGGATGGCATTAGACCCACATATTAGAGCCCAGTGGAGAAGACCAAGAACCTGGACGTAGGAGAGCAACGAAGGACACAAGGGTCAGGTGAGCCACGACACACCACCAAACAAAAATCTGACAAAAAGAATATGAAAAGTAATGAAATATAATAATCTAAAAATGAACTCCTGTTCAGTTGAAGACAACACTGATCTACTGGCAGGAATTGAAGAAAGACACTCACAAAGATCTTCTTCAACAGCTCTGATTATCTTTTGTTTTAGTTTTCATAGCCATCTGCTGCCACCTAGAGGAAGATGATTTAATTGTTCTGCCTTTAATGCTTTGACCAAAAAAAAAAAAAAACTTTAGGAAATAAATAATAAATAACGTTTATCAGCCTATTTAAGTGATATTTGATCATTTTCCATGGCACACTAGTGGGCCACGGCCCAGGGGTTGGGAATCAAACAAAATGTATAAACTGGGTCGAAAGGACAATGGGATCAAATCGTTTTTTTATATTTTATTACAATAACTGGAGTTATTATAAATATCTAATAACAATAATTAGGGGGAAAAAGTTGAATAATTTTGTTTTTTATCATGTTGTTTTTCGTCAAACTCACACCTTTTTTCACCAACAGTGTTTGTTCATGAAGTCTGTATCTGAACTCCAGCTCTTACGTCTTTTCTTCTTTGAGAGGCTGGTCTATTATGTATGCAGCGATCATATTTCCCTTTTTTTTTTTTGACCTACTCGATACACACTGTCACACACACACACACACACACATACTTGGCACCACCTGAACGAGAACCTAAAGTCTGCACGGAAGGAACTTTTGTTAAATGACCCCTAAAATGTCATCGCAGCGTTACTGATCAACCCACGTCACGCTCTTCTTCTCCTTTTTTTTTTTTACCGTTTACTATAACGACATTTACGACCGCTGACACTCCAGCTCAGCAGGACCTACTACTGTAACGCCGTGGGCTGCCCCGCCCTCAGAAAGAATGTAGGCTAAACCGACGTTTTAACGCTCAAACACGGAGGAACACACGACCAGAGACGCAGAGTGGCTGTGATAATAATGTGAGGTCTGAATAGAAGGGGACAAAGGTCTCCAGCACGGGTCACTTGGTCATGTGACATGGTCACATGGTTGGTCACATGTCGTCTCTGCCTAACGACAGTATATACAGTAGCTGATGGCTGTTGACTAAATGACTAATCCTGTCATCGGGGTTAGGAGTTGAGATCCCAACAGATGTGAGGCTTTGTCTCACAAAGTCCAATGGAATTTTTCAAATAGAGAACTTCACTTTTTTTTCCAACTTTGTGAGGCGTGTCGTTGTCCAATGGTAGCTGCTCTTGTATCAGCTGTTTAGAGATAATACTCTGGAAAGAATGCTGTAATAATATGACGTTCCACTGGGTCAGTGTTACTGCCCTTTGAGAAGAATATATAGATTAGAACAGTGTTTCAGGAAGTAAAAAAACACCAACTATAAGCCACACCCCTGAAGCTGGGTTTAGAAATATATATATATTAGGGATGTCCCATATTGAATTTTGGCCAATATCCGATATGCCGATATTGTCCAAACACTTAATTTCCAATTCTGATATCAGCTGATATTGATTTGCAGCCGTTTGCCCCCAAGACTGAGGTAAATGTCCCACAACCTTACAAGTGATTCCAAGAAAATTTGGCCAAACCCAGACATTACGTTATCAGGTTTTCAGGTTTTTCGTTTCAAGCTAATATGTATTATCCCTAATAGATATGTGTGTGTTTTAGAAAAAATGTATGTAAAAAATTGGTGTTTAAAGTCCAGCATAAAGTTACATTACTTAAGCTTTACCATTCACGACATGACATTTAACCCAATAATAGACTAGAATAGAATAGAATAGAATAGAATAGACTTAATTGTCATTATGTAGTCGTTGCGATTACTCAACTTGGGAAAGAACGACATGACATTTAACCCAATAATAGAATAGGCCTAATTGTTGTTATGTAGTCGTTGCGATTACTCAATTTGGGAAAGCTCAAGCAGAGCTTCCTCGAACTACAATGTTGAAAACAATGGTTGCAAAGAAAAACAAACCTTTTGTAAACTCTTTGAGGCTCAAACTGGTCTGTGTTCAGGAGTCTGATGGAGAAATCAGTCAGTCAGCTGCCTGTTAGTCAATTACTCAACTAAAAAAAAGGATGCTCAATGTCTCCGTCCAGGAAGTGGAAATGGAGAACCGGTCTCCAAAGACTTCACAACTGAATTAGCATCATCATAATTATTGACAAATTAGATATTACTGCATCTGGAAGACGAGAGACAGAGACAGAGAGAGAGACAGAGACAGAGACAGAGACAGAGAGAGAGAGAGCAAAGGTTTGGACGAGTGTTTACGTACTATTTCAACAATCATTAGAATGCCCGGGATGCTTCTGAGAAAGAAGACGTCCACGGAGGCGTTAATGCCTGTAGCCAGCCCTCGGAGGCCGTTGCCACCCTGTTGAGAGCTGTGGGAGTTCGGCACACTGGTCTCTGTGGTGACTTTGGACGGAAAGTCTGCCATGATCACACAGCGTGTTTGAAGATCTCAGGAAAAAAGAATGAATAAAAAAAAAAAAAAAACAACAACAACTCTCCAGGTAGTTTTTATCCTCAGGAAAAATAGAAAAGAAGTTCCCGGTGTGTGTTTACCATCGACTGCATCGGCTGTTGATGATGTGACGGGGGAAAAAAAAAAGAGAGAGAAAATGTCCTGCTGTAAAATGACCAGGGTCAGATGTTCACGGGCGACTGTCTCCACCTGCAGTGACAGGTGTCGGGCAGGGAGGAGTGTGAG